TTACTTATCGTTGTCCGTGTAGACTGTGGGAAATGTACCTGTTCGTCACCGTTGGCAGGATTTTCCGCCGCAATAAAACCTCCTAATTTTTTCTTCCTAATCTTGATTTTCGATTCCGTTAGCTTTTAAAACCTGTTAACAGATGACAAACTTGAAGGTAGAAAAAGGTTATTTTTTATAAAAATATTAGCTCAACATTAATTCAGGTTTTTGAATTAATTAAGGTGCACTTTTGGAAGTTCGCTAACATTTTCTGATGAATGGGAGGCCGGGTGCAGAGAGAGAGCCATTTGGCTCATATTTGTTAGTTATGCCTCACTAACAGAACACAGACGGCCTGTTAGAATCATTATCAAGCAGCTGCTTAAGTTTAGCAACTATAATACTTTTAGTCAAAAAATTACTCGCATGTCGTTCATTCAGCACAGTACAATGAAAAATAATTGGCCCATCAAACGTGAGCTGTACGAGGAAAGAATGTGTTTAAATGTGGGCAAAATGCAGAGGAGGACAGTGGTGGTTAAGATTAAAGATGGCTGGACACAGATGAGAGGCCAGGTGCAGGGCGTTCAGAGAGGAGAGAGGGGGGGGAAAGAGAAATGAGGATCGTATGGAGCCACAAGAGTCCGACCTGGCTCGGCCCGCCTGCTGCCTCAGAGATTGTAACTGCACTCAGGATGCAGACAGACAGCAACACGCGCATCATTTCCCCATATTACCTTCTAGCCTGAACTGGTTGTCCATGCAGCCTCCTTGCTTTTCCTTCCCATCCGTTCATCCTCTTTCCACTAGATGCTTATTTGTTATGCCCAAGCACATGGCATGAATATGAACTGCTGGATCTATTTCCTCTATCTTTCTCTCTGCAGCTCTTTCACACTTTCTCCAGGTTTTTATTCCGTAGATGGAAATGATTTCAGCTGCAGTCACGCTCTCCCTCCATTGTTCGATGGTCGTGTGCCTCTCCATAGGGAAGGTAGATGAGTGTTGGCTCTATTCCCCTGTTTTACCCAGCTTTACAGTGTAACCTTCTACTCCGGCACAATGCAGCTCTCGCTGCAGCCACAGGATTCTATTTAGGTCCCAAGAGGAACAGGATCTCCTAAACATTTCCTGCTACCCCCCCTCCGTCTCATCACCCTATATGGCCTCATGGCCTCAACACCATCCAAACTGATAGCTTTCCTTTGTAATTTCAAGCAGAAGCCCCCCTTTTTTTAACCATGAGGAGATTTTACCCTGTCTTGGAAATAAAGGCAGAATAAAAGCTTCTACATTACCAACGGCTTGTTGCGCTGTCAGCTTCGCTCTCAACAACAGTGTTACTTTACAACCAGACGAGTATATACTAACAAGAAACCTGCAAACAGCAACTGCTTGTTTATATGTTCTTTGGAGGAGCGCTTAAGATGTTTAAAGAAAAATGCTGGAGTCAATTGGAGGATGTGATTCCTTTTTTTGCTGAAAACATTGCCATTAAAGGCTGCGGATAAACACCCCAATCTGTCACTTGTCCTCAGAGTGTTATCAAATCACAAACTGGGTCTGCATTTTCAGTGAACCGTTGTTGATTGTACCTTTGGTCTTCTTCACCGTATTCTAAGAGGAAAGCTTGTTCACGATTTATAAGAGTGACGGTGAGGAGACTGATTCTTCACTTATATCTCAGCTTTTCATATTATTTTTATATATATTTTCTAATATAGTTCGTGACAATGTCAGAGGAATACTGGTAAACAGTGGAAGGGAAGGGGAATGAAATCAAAAAAGGTCAATAGTTGAAATCATCAGGATCTTTTGGGTATATTGCAAGCAGCCTTTAAAGGTGGGCGATAGGTAAGTTTGAGAAACCGGCTTGAGATTACACTTTGTGTTTATATTCCAGGAATGCTCATTAAGCATCCCGATAGCAATGATATCTGAAGTGCTTTGACAAAAAATCCATAAAAAAGTGTCATCTCTGCAAGCCGTGTAGTAATGTAAAAAGCACGATCAATCATCTTGAGCGGCCCGCGGCTAAAATAACTGGATGGCCTACCTGCCTGTCAGCCTTCCATCTGTGCACAAACTTATCTCGTGCCCTCATTGGTCATGTGCACGTTCGTGTGTTGGAGGAGGAGCTCCGTAAGGAAGTGTCAGATTTTTTCCGGTTGTGTATTTTCAAATTCTAGCGCACTCGAGCTGGTTTCTCCAAAATTACCTACCCCACCTTTAATTCCTACTCAGTAAAGTGTGTAATTGTATTTTTAAAATGCATTTGATGTCACTTATGTCACTGCAAGACACTTTTATCTTCAGTTTCATAAAGGAGTTATATACAGCTTTAATAAAACATTAGAAAAGCACGACTTAAGACCATTTGCTCTCCAGGCTCCAAAGCTTCCTTTAAATGTACTGGATACTTCTAACATGTTAATAAATGCTACGTGATAATCAATGTTGTGAGATTGGCCTAGTTAACCATCAGCATTTGATCTATATTGCTTAATTTAATACAGAAATGTAAATATGCCAGTAAGCAAAAGGGCTAGTGTCTTGTTGCCCGTTGGCCAAATGTGAATGATCCTTCAGAAATAATAAGAAACACTAGATGTAAAACCAAGTTATATGTAGAAAGAAATTATAATAATTATTATTAAATATTGTTTAAACTTTTCCCAGGCTGTATAGGTTGCCTGACGCTGCTACGATGTGTTTGTCAGGGTCTCTGTTTTGTTCCTCAAGTCCAAAGCCATGGGACAGGACTCCTTTCTGCCCCGCTCCTCAAACACAAACATTCCCCTCCATCTCTCTGCTCCTGCCCCCCATCCATGCTTCCCTCTCCTCCCATCTTGATAATGCAGTTCTTTTCTCTCTTGCTGGGTGGAGGGCTGCCCTGAACCAACATTGTCCCCGACGCCGGCTCTAGTGGGGGGCCCTATTGTGTGTGAAGGAATGGGGAGTTAACACCCATGTCTGAACCCTCTCAATGGGGGCATTGTGTCTGAATCTTCCTCCGGCTCACCCAATCTCACCTCACGTCACTCCCCTGCACAGGCCAAGCCAGGGGCGACTCCGGGTGCTCCCCCATTATGTGATGAAAACATGCACATAACAGTGAACTCAGATTCACAAACAAGCCATCCCATAACTGACCTCGTCTGCTTTAACCCGTTGCTCTCTGTGTCCTATTCATTTTCCACAAACCACACTGAGCTGAATGTGTCTCTGCTGCTGGTCGTACAGAAATGGGGGCCAGTGGGTGCAAAGCTACTGAAGGAGGCCCCTGCAATTCGTTTTTCGTATAGAAAAGAACAAAGCAACACATAAAGGCCTACGTTGTATTAGCATGATAACAGCTTTCAGAATGCTTTCAGACAATTTGAAGATGCACTGCAGTGAAGGAATCCATGCAAATTATTCATTAAGTATAAAAACCGTTATCATGCTCATTGTTTTTCACTCATAAGGCATGGTCAAAAATAACTGAACGTATTTATTTCAATAGTGTTCCAAACAGTAGAGTGTAAATATTTGAATGTGAATGATTTATATTTATGGAAAAAAACTACATTTTTAAATATAAAGAGAGGTGGATTTGTCTGTTTCATACTGAGCATTTGTATTGTTGCTGTATAGCAGCGAGTGCCTTGGGGCAGGTTACAAAAGAGCAAGTTGGCGTTTTCTTCCCACATATTTTTAATCAAAGTGTTAGTGTTTACATTTGCATTTGCATTGAGCAGAGGGATGCTGAATGCCAAAGGTGAGATTTTGAAAAACACTCTATTTTCTCTTTTTCAGATGGAAACAAGGGTGGGTGGTTGGAAGGCTGGATAAAGGCTGGTAGATGACTGAACTCAGAGACCCGGCGCAGCTCATCATCATTGCCATGGGCTCTCGTCTTCCTCCTCTCCTCCTGTGGCCCATACCTCCATCCAGGGGTCCAGCAGAGCCGGTGAAGCCCAGGCGGGGAGCAAGTGAGTGGGCTGGGAAGGATGGAAAAGCTCCCTGAAGGCTCAAAGCACCTCTGGAGCTACCGGCATGCAGGAGAAATCAATATGAAACACAGAGCCGGCACAGCAGAGTGGGGTTTCCTGTGTTAGTCTGTGGCCTCGGGCCGCAGACCTCCAAAGGACGGGCCCTGTGTGGCCCTCTCAGCTGCAGCCCCTGCCCCTCAGACTGGACCTGAGTCCCAATCTCCACTGGCTGTGTGTGGTTCTGCTGAAGGGGATCTCTCCCCAAATAATACCCGGTATGTTGAGA